TATAAATGACAATGGGTGATAGTGTAGGCAGTACCAGGGTACCTACCAGTGACACTGGTAGGTACCGTGTCAGGTCGCCAATGATCCGTACCTCGGTACTGAAGCTTCTGAGCCCTGTTGTTGGGGCAGTCTTTGCCCTGCATGTTGAAGTTGATGTTGGTGCGGATGCAGCGATTATTCAGAGGCTGGACCGGGCGAACATTATCACTCATACTCAGGAAGATCTGAGATGGTTGGTTCTGGCTCAACAGCCGCAACGAGTGCATCTAAGACAGATTAAAGGACAGAAACAGAAAGTTAGCAGATGCATTATGGAAATTTGGGTTGTTTTATTTTTCCCACTGCATCATACTCAGTGTGCAGCATTAGACAAAAAATGTGCAATATTCCGTGCCTAGCTGATATGTTTTTCAGGAGAAAATGCCCCACTTTGACAGCAAATCTTGATCTGAGCCTTTCAGTCCCCAGTAGGAACTGTGTTTCAGGTTTGGGTTGGGAGCTCAGCCTCACCTGCATTCGTGTAAGGTACACTGGCTTGTTCATCAAGATCCATGTGGCTGTCTCGAAGCATGGAGGGATGGTCATTGATCCTTCGTATGTGATAAAACTATTTGTTTCTGGGTAAATCTCCTCAATGTTCAGGCCGGTTAGAAGATATGCATCATCTGCCAAGAGAACAGCAAAGAAGAATGATAAAAACTTGAGCAAACAAGCAAAGACAGTATTGTTCAGTGAATTACACATTCTAAAACAATTTAGTTACTCTGTTTCATTCAAACAGCATTTAATTCTGACCAGACTGACAAGCTAACAACTAGTCTGAGTGGGGCAAAGACTAATGTTTGCCATTTTAAAACCACACCAGACTCAACAATGCCATACAGGACATGGGTGTTACATTACATGGTTATTAATGTTTAAACAATTGTTTTATTTTATTTTTAAATAAAGCGCAAACAGCAGCAGCAACTAGGTGTTGCACTTCCTTTGTAGCCTGGATCATGTCCTGCAGGAATATTATATGATTTTCTGTCAGAATAGATGTGTAATGTGAACATGATGGCAGTGTCGAGGTTTAAAAAAAAAAAAAAAATTTCTATGAAATGCTATGAAATGAGACAAGCTGTTTTAAGATGCACACATTTTACTTTGTTTTCAGCCCCATTCAAATAAGCTAAATGGACTGTACTTATATAGCGCCTTTCTATCTTATTTCAAGATACTCAATGCACTTTACACTACAATCTGTGTCCTCATTTACCCATTCATACAGCACTCTACTAGATCTCTACAAAGCTAATTGAACAAATCATTCTAAAGAGACTAATCAGAGCTTTATCACATTCAAACACCGATGGAACACACATCAGAGGCAATGAGGTGTTCAGTGTGTATTGCCCAGGGACACTTCGGCATGTGACTGCTGGTGGATTCGAACCCCCAACTCTCGCATTGGAGGACGACTGCTCTAACCACACAGCCACAGCCACCCCAACATGTTGTTTGAATGGGGCCTTTAATTACAGAACATTTAATTGTCCAGTCAGAATCAAACCATGTCTTCAAACTGGAAATGTTCAAAGAATTGTTTAGAACACGTAAGGGATTAATTATTGAAAACCTTTCCACTGATTAACACGATCTAAACTATCTTTTTAAAACTGTTAAGTTGAATAATCATAGTTTAAACATA